TTTTTAACTGTTTGACATTTTCACGAGTCCATTTTTATGATTTAATAAAACATTTCTTATAATGAAATAATAAATATAAAATAATATTTGAAGTAAATATTTAATTAATATTAAATAAATGTTAAGTAAATGTTTCTTTAAATCATTATTACAAATAAATAATTAATGTAAAATAAATATTACATTACTGTCGAATAAATGTTAAATAAACGTTGTTTCAAATCATTATTGCAAATGAATAATTAATGTGAAATGAATATTAAATTAATGTGGAATAAACGTTACATAAACGTTTTTTTCAAATTATTACACTAAATAAATAATTAATGTAAAATAAATATTAAAATAATGTCAAATAAATTTTAAATAAATGTTTTTTTAACTTATTATTGCAAATAACTTACTAATGTAAAACAAATATTAAATAAACGTTAAATAAACGTTTAATAAATATTTGTTGAGAATCTAACGCTCGAAAAGTGAAAGCGAACGTTGGAAATATTCGAGAGCGCTCGATTTGCTCCAAAACGCGTTTATTTGTCTTCCCCCCGTTTTTTTTTTTTTTTGGTGTTTTCGCTTGCGCCCGGACCGCAAATGTACATCGCGTGATCGCTCGTACTGCGACCAATAGTCTGGTCGCTCGACGATTTGGAGCCAATCAGCGTTTCTCACGTCTCAAAATTCCTCGCGGAAAAGTTCGGAGCTCCGGCCGCAATCGCTTCGCTTGCTCCGGCCGGGAGCTCAGTGAGCCCCGCAATTCGTACGCGACACGTGTATTTGTCGATAGCAAAAAACGGAGTCAAATCGTAGCGAATCCTAAGTGGTGTAATAGCGAGTGCGATCTTTCCACGCGAATCTGACATTGTAACCAGCTTTCAATAAAGTGACTCTTGTCTCGTTTTACACGAGCTATTGACTATTTTTTGTGCTCTCCTCGGCGCGGCGCGCGAAAACATCGAGCGGTCCACTAACTACATGCAATAGTAAAACTTTTTATTATAATACATAAACGACAATAATATTTTCAACATACCTTTCAGATTGCTAATTGCATCTGCAAGAGATTCTAATGTGGCTGATTCTTTCCCTTCTTTGGCAGAAATGCATTTCGGATCAATTGTGGAGCCTTTATCACTTGAAGAACATTTTTGAGAACTTAATTTTTTGTCTGAAGTAGTTGCTGCAGACTTGCGCATTTCGGTAGAACAAGATGTCTCTTGTAGAAGTTTTACTTCTTTACAATCCATGTAATTCTTGTTCTTTGACCTTTCATGAGAGACATTTATCTCATGTGTGACATAAGAGTTTTGGCTTTTTTACATTATTATCTGAAGATGAAGCTTTATCTACGCATGACGATTTTATCATTTTATTCACTTTGACAGGCTCACTTGCCTGCGCCGAATTGCTCGCATTCGCTAATTTTGGTAGTGGTGGTATCGATTGTATATTTCGTCTTTTTGTGTTAATTTTTTTCTTGTCATTGTCAGATTTATCGTCAAAATACTTAATCGGTTCTCTCAATCGTTTTCTTTTCCCTTTTTCTTCAAAATCTGAGTATAGCGTGGCATTAGGATTTTTGGAAAATTTGACCAGCATTTTCATTTTCTGATCATACTTCCCTGCAAAAGTCATAAAATCCAAATGTAAGAGTAAGAATTGTAAACTATGAAAAAAGGCAAATTATGCGTGAAAAATTATCTTAATGTAAAATTTACCAATGTCTTCTTCTATTGTCTTGATGGCAAAACAATTCCACTCCGAATTAGCCTTTGCACACTGTTTTACTAATTTCTGTACAGTCGCTTGATGTTCAGTCATAGGATACCAACATAATGTCCCCGTCGTCGTAATCCACGAAGACGGAATAAGATCGTTGAAACTTTCAATATCTTCGTCTTCGTCTGTTTCAAAGTGGACAATTGACCATTTTGCCACATCGTCATCAGTATGCATTTTTCCAGTAGATACTGATTTTTCGCAAAAAACGTTATCATTCATGCTTGATATTTTATAATTGTATCCAAATTAATTGGATTGCCTATTATAATTTGTTATTCCTGCAAAAATATTAGAAACAGAACACTTGTAAAATTTTATAATTTCATAAACTTATTGGATAAACAACATTTTGATCGGTATTCTGTAACATTATATTTTATACAATAAAAAACTTATAATTTAAGAATTCTAGTTTTAATATAGAATTAAGAATTAATAGTCTTTAATTACATTAATCTTAATTTTTAAATTCATTAAAACTAATTTGCTTTGTTTGATTGTATTTTGAGTAAAATTTTGTTATTATAAATCCATAAATATTGATTAAACACA